CTGACCTTGCTCCTGCTTCTCCACCTCCCCCTATCATCACACCACCATCCTGCTTGGGCAACCCCATATGCTGACATCTGTTATGTATGAGTTTCTCCTTTCCTCCTCACCTTCACTATAAAACAGGAAAAAAAGAAAGCTATGAGGATCACAGAGTAAGAGAAACTACTCCTTTGTTGTTGGAATAAGATGGTATCAGAGAGAAAATCTGTAAAATTTAGTCAAAAATTAGGAGATGAATCATGTAAAATTCTAGGGCTGGTCAGCAGAATCCTTTCCAAATAATAAGTTAAAAGACGTATTCTTCCTCTCCAATTATATGTGTCACATGCTAAAACAACCTACCACAGTCCATCTGGAATGTGTGTTTGTATGTGTGTGTGAGTGTGGCTTGTTTTTGTCAGGGCACCTGTAATAGAAGGATCAAGGAGTATTGGAATGAAATTTTTTCAATGTTGTTTCATTTCTTTGGGCAGTTTAATTATCCAATTCTTAAAAGAAGAGGAAAGAGATTTACAGGAAAAGACTTCACCTGAATTGCTCAGATAATAGGGTGAAATATTTTTATTGAGTCTTTTTCTTTCTGAGGAATGTTTTATAATAAACTATATTATCAGTTGCTGAGTTCCGAAAAAGTCCAATGTGGCCTCAGGACTAGCTAGGCCAGGCCATATGTTTGGTTTTATTACTATATCTCTCCCAAAGAGTGAGATTTTACAACCGTGAGACCCCATGAAGGAGATGCAAATTGCTTCCCACGCTGTTCTTCAGAATTTTGACTAAACAAGAACTAGTTGAATTTTTCATTTTTAAGCTTTTCATATTTTTTTCTGCCTCTTGTACAAGTTAAATATCCAAAGTTTGAACATTTACTCAATTTGCCTTCAGTTAAAAAAAAAAAAGCTACACGTAGTGTGTTGTTGTTGTGTGCTGTCGAGTCACACCCAACTCATAGCGACCCCTCCTTGGGTTTCTGAGGCGGTAGCACTACGGAAGTAGATTGCCCAACCTTCCTTCCCAGGAGTAGCTACTGGGTGTAGCCCTAGATTATTTCATAAGAAAAAAACCTTTTAAGAAGCACATTCAATTTTCACCTTCCTGCTCTTAACCAACAGGATCACAAAAAATACACAAACTAAAACTGAGAAATGTTGTATATAAAAAATAAAAATACTATCAAACCCTCATGGTTGTCACAGTATAAAGAAAAACAGCTATCTGCCATCTATGTTTATTATAAACCCAGGCGATAAAGATTCTCTGATGAAGATAGCTGCATGTATTTCTCCTTCAGAAACAAAGTTCCTGGAATCAAATTTCTCCAAAGGAAGTGAGCTGATTTGGGCAGAATGGACAAACCCTTCTTCCAGTACTGAAAGTCAAAGAGTTGAAAATGTCAAGAATTAGAAAACACGGAGGTTACCCGCAGCAGTGAGTGAAGAAAACACATGACATAGGGCATTGAGCAAATCTGCTGCAAAAGATCTCTTTAAAGTGTTAAAAAGCAAAGATGTCACTTTGAAGACTAAAGTCTTGGCCTAACCCAAGCTATCGTATTTTAAACTATATCATTGGCATGTAAATGTTGGATATTGACTAAGCTTCCTAAGAAAAACTGATGTATTTGAATTATGGTGCTGGTAAAGAATATTAAATATACCATGCAGTGCCAGAACAATGAATAAATCTGTCTTGGAAGAAGTACCAGCAGAATGCTTTTTAGAAGCAAGGACAGTGAGACTTCATCTCATGTACTTTTGATATCTTATCAGGTGGGACCAGTCCCATAAAAAGGACATCATATTTGGTAAAGTAGCAGGTCAATGAGATGGATTAATACAGGAGCTGCAACAATGGGTTCAAGCACAGGAATGATTATGAGGATGGCTCAGAACCTAGTAGTGTTTCGTTCTGTTTTACATAGAGTTCCTGTGAGTTGGAACAGTAATAAGAACTATGCTAAGGATATAGCAGTGAAGGAAAGAAAATCTCTGTCTTCAAGGAGCTTACACTCTAGTAAGAGGAAAAAGGCAATGAACAAATAATTAAAATAGTGAAATTGAGATGCCTTGTGAAATTGCTTCTATTTGACCTGTAAAAGTGGCATTTTCATGGGTCAAGCTATATATCAAGCAGTGATAAATATTATTTCAAAAATAAAGGAGAGGAGGGGAATAGGTAGTGGGATGGATGAGGGAATGAGGACTGAGAGGGTCACAATAGAAAATAGGGCTGTTGTTGTTGTTGTTATGTGCCGTGAAGTCGGACCCGACTCATAGCGACCCCTCCTTGGGTTTCCGAGGCAATATCACGATGGAAATAGATTGCCCCATCTTCCTTGCAAGGAGTGGCTGGTGGGTTTGAACCGCCAGCCTTCTGGTTAGCAATCAAGTGCCTTAGGCACTATGCTACCAGAGCTCCTAGAAAATAGGGCTATTAGCCTCCAAATTAGAATTTGTGAGTTTTCCTACTATTTCATTAATTTTCTAAAGCACAAGTATTCATTTATAATGAATTTTTAAAAACTGTAAGATGACATAAAAGTTGCTGAAAACTCAAATAAGTTATATAAACATGAAAATTTTAAAGTATTTACATCAAGCAGGTATGTAAGATCCAGAGATACAGATGATATGAAAACAATCTTACTGAGGCCCTATGAAATTAGATTTAAAAACATGGTATGGTATGTATGGTGGTTATGTTTGTGTGTCAACCTGGCTGGGCCTGGTTGAGTGGTGGTAGTTATTCCCCATGATGAGACTGGCAATCAACTCCATGGTGGGATCTACCACAAGCAGCTAAGTAGCTGCTTTGGGTACGTGGTCTACTCCCCAAATATAAGCAACAGCTTTGGGAATGGTGTCCAGCTTATGGCACGCTTGGACCCTGCATGTAGCTGTGTTGTTTAGCAGCCTGCCATGCTCTGCTGACCTTGGGACTCACAATGGACTTAAATTAATGGCCTGCCATGGTGGTTTGGAGGAGCTCTGGTAGCATAGCAGCTAAGTCACTTGCCTGCTAACCAGACGGCTGGCGGTTCAAACCAACCAGGCACGCCTCAGAAGGAAGGTTGGGCAATCCTACTTCCGTAGTGATACTGCCTCGGAAACCCAAGGAGGGGTCGCTATGAGTCAGGGCCGACTCAACGGCACATAACAACAACAACAACATGGTGGTTTGGTAATATCGGGACTGTGCCTTTTTACTTGTCAACCTTGGGTTTGTCAGCCTCAGCAGCCAGCAGTTGTCTGAGTGAAGAAACACCTCTAGCTCCAGTGGGCTGGGAGCAGAAGGCAGACCTGGACCCCAAGGTTGAGGGGCTTTCACCCAGCCCTTAGAGTCTGGCACTTTGAACTTGGACTTAAAACCTCCAAACTGAGAGAATAAACTCCTGTTTGTTCAAGACATCCCATTTGTGATATATTCCTGTCAAAAGGCACTAGGTAACCAGAACAGTATGAAAAAGTAATTATACATGTTCTAAGCTATTAATTTGAAAAACAAGAAATAAAGTATACTTTAATGAGTTTATTACAAATATACTTTGTTACATCTTTTAAATATACACAAAGTACAAACAATTGCTGAATCACCCAAATTGCCAATATCCATCTAACACAATGTTTTGTGATCATTTCAATTGTTTTACGAACTGTAAAAATGTAGGGGCAAGGGAGAATTACTTATAAAATATGAACTTATGACAATTAATGAAAAGATTAATTAAACTAATAGATGATTTAACCATTAACACAATAACACCATTATCACAACTTATTATAAATAAGTTCCATAAAAATTTAGATACTAGTAGAATTAATTACTGAATTAATTGATTGAACATAGAATCAAGCTAAAGTGATTTACTAGCTCAGTAATATAACCACTCATGTGTGCCCCTTCCCCCAAGAAATCCTCGAAACCAGAACTGTCCAATGGAACTTTCTGCAATGTTTGAAAGTTCAGCACTACGCAGCAGAACTTTCTGCTTCGTCCAATAAAGTAGCTACTAGCCACAAATGACTACTAAATATTCAAATGTGGCTAATTCAACTAAGGAACAGAATGTTTTATTTTATTTTAATTAATTTATATTTAAATAGCCACGTGTAGCTAGTGGCTACTACATTGGACAGCACACCTCTGTCCTGCCTCATATATTCTTTTTCTATTAACTCAAGTTTTCCTTCTAGCTAGTTCCGTTGTATGTAAGTCAGAGGCTCCAATTCTCACTTTCAGTCTACCTCTCTGCCCTTCTGGCCTCAAATTTTCCTCCTGAGCTGTTCCATAGCTGCTTCCAGCAAAGCTGTGAGATGGTCTTGCCCATCTCAGACCCCTGGTCCCTCCCCACTTGCTCATGATAGCAAGTGAAACAGAAACCCTTTTCAAAATGTAAATAGACAACTAAATGCCCTGTAAGACTTGCTAGAAACTACACAAACCGGAAGGCAAGGGAGCATATCCAGAGATTAACAGAAGGCCCTTCCAAACCTAAAGTTCTCGGATTGCAAACTTCAAATTCCAGGTAGAGAAATTACTATTTCCAAAAATATACTGTACTTACAGAATAACCCTAGCTTCCTAAACCTCACAGAAATCAAAGAATCTAATGGATTCTAGGCACTGTCCTCCAAATAATTAAGCAAAAAAGGTAACTCTCTTCTTTCTCCTGTTCGTTAAGAAAGACACGATAAAACTCAAAGTGATATTTTCATTATTTACTACCATTCTTAGGAAAAAGGTCATATATATTCATATACAAAACAATGGAGTAACTCTTGCTCTCCATTTTACATTCTTTAACCTGGTATGGTGTGCAATTTCAAATGGATATTCATTTCCTGTATTTGCCATACTCCCTAAGGTATAATTAGTAGATATAATAGTTTTAAATATAGTACTAAACTGATGATATAGGAAGACATAGCATAATATAGTAAGAAAATTTTACAGAAGGATGTATCTAACAAAAGTGAGTACAGCTCCAAAAGACTTACTGATTTAACATGACATCGAGAATGAATGATGTTCCAAAGGCATCAACCTGGAAGGTTGCTTGGTCAACATGAGTCAACTGCAATGTCAAAAAGATAGAAGATATTTACTATACAGTCATAGAAATTAAGTGATAGTATTTCTTATGATCATTCTAAAAGGTTTACAAAATCATAAATGAGAAAATGAATTCAACATGGAGAGAAAATGAAAGCATAGATAAGTAAAATTTGCACCTACTTGGAAGTCGAGCATTCAAGCATCAGAAACAAATTACGCCCCAATCAAGAAGGACAAGTGCCCTACCTTTCTGTTTATCACAAGTTATTAAATATTTAATTTCTGAAAAGACTGTATATACTTCATTTATCTTATTCTATATTAAATAATTGGCCTCTTTAAAATTTACTACGCCATCCCAAAAAAAAAAATCACCATAGTAAAGTCAGTTCCGACTCATAGAGACCCCTCCTTGGGTTTCTGAGGTGGTATTTCTACGGAAATAGATTGCCCAGTCTTCCTTCCAAGGAGTGACTGGTGGATTTGAACCTCCAGCCTTCTGGTTAGTAGTCAAATGCCTTAGGCACTACAGCACCAGAGCTCCTATGCCGTTCCAGGAACTCCAAATTAAAAAAATAAAGTGTTGTCAATAACAGTAACATCAGCATACTAAAGAATCACGTGTATTCAGTGAAAGGAGGAAGAAACTTATCTGTTCCATTTGACTCCCGAAGTATTAACAATGGGGCTAAGCAGTTGGATATAACTTACTTGAATTTTTTTTATATGTTTCTTGTTGGACTATAAATTATTTGAATTTTTTTGTTTATATGTTTCTAAAATAAACATGTGTAATTCCTACAATGAGGTAAAAACATCAAATACTATTTTAGGGATAAAAAGTATCTAAGCGGGGGACTTCTGGTAAGATAGAGGAATAGGCAGACAAGTGACACAGACCTTCTTCAACAAAGAAAAGAAAAACCAACTGACAGAGATACAGAAGATAATCCTGGAGCCCTGAGCTTTGAAAGGAACTATACAGAAGTGGATTAGGCACCAACTAGTGGAAAAACCTGAACAAAAACAGTGAATACAGAGATGGTTGGAACTGTGGACTATCTGCTACTCTGACGGGACCAATAGCCTGAATATTTCCAAGTGGTGTTGGGATCTGAGAATTGGCCTAAAGATCAGCCCTGGTCTCCAAGGGCTGCACGGACAACTGCGCTGGTGGCCTATAACTAGGAAGGGAAAAAGGAAGGAGGGAGACTACCTGAGTTGTGGACTTTCCACTCTTCAGAGGGCACAGACATTTTGATTGTTTACACAAGGCAGCCATTTTGGATATTTAAAGTGACCAAGGGTACAGCCATTTTGAATGTTTATAAGTGGTAGCCATTTTGGATATTTAAAGCAACTGAGGGTGCAGCCATTTTGAATGTTTACAAGTGGGTGGCCATTTTGGATATTTAAAGTGACTGAGGCACAGCCATTTTGAATGTTTACAAGCAGTGGCCATTTTGGAGATTTAAAGTGACTAAGGGTGCAGCCATTTTGAATATTTACAAGTGGCAATCATTTTGGATTTTAAAGTGACAGCATTCCATTCGGATTCCAGGGACCTAAGAATAGGCTCTGTTTGCCAAGGTCAGCAGGGACATCCAAGAGACTGACAACAGGAAAGGAGACAGGTGGTGAGTGTATATTGTTGTTATGTGCTGTCGAGTCAGACACAACTCACAGCGACCCCTCCTTGGGTTTCTGAGACAGTATCACTAAGGAAGTAGATTGCCCAACCTTCCTTCCAAGGAGGAGCTGGTGGGTTTGAACCACCAGCCTTCTGATTAGTAGTCAGATGCCTTAGGCAGGAGCATAATACCCTGCTTGTGTAGATAACATACAAAGAAAACTAAATTTGTGGGCAAGTCACTCCAACATACAATCACCAATTAAATATAAACACAAAAATGTCACAATGCCTCAGAGACAACAGAGCATCACAGTCCACCCAAAGAAGCAACATAAAAGAGAAGAAACAAGGGACCAGGATACAGATCCAAAACACATCCCTGAGGAAGACACAGCATTTGAACTCCCTGATAAGGAATTCAAAAGAATTATTATATTTAGGTATCTTCAATGAATTGAGAGATCAAGGAAAACACAGAGAAAAGCCTAGAACAACTTCAAAAGACAATACAAGAACAAAATGACAAAATAAATGAAAAATTAGAAATGATACAAAATCTACACACAGAAATCCAGAAGATTAATACTAAATTTTCAGAAATAGATAAGACATTGAATGGGCAAAGAGGCAGAACTGAATCAATGGAAGACAGAATTAGGGAGA